GTGATTTTTTTTTTTGTAAATTAGTGCAGAAATGCACTTATGAGAATGCATGTGAAAGTGACACAGACCAGAAATTAACTTATTTGTCCATTCCTAATCAGAGGCCCAGTCTCCTCTTTAAACTGGCAAGCAGCTCTTTAAAGGAAACAATCTGCTCTGAGTTCCCTCCCTGTGTGTGTGCAAATCAGTCAGCTCAAACAGTTAATAAGTATCAATGCTCAGAGTGCAGTATGGCAAAAGCATCCAAGAACTAAGAAAAATTAACAGAAACTTATATAAGTGTGTGTGGAGATGATATAGATAGATATAGATGATATGATATAGATATAGATATATTAATGACACTTATATTCCACCTTTTGTCCCTGGGAAGCCTCCTGCTCCAAAACAGCTCATGGTAAAACAACTATAAATACAATAAAATCAATTTAAGTACAACAAAACCACGTGCCTGATGCATAAGCAGCAAGAGAGTCAACATTTTGCAGAGAGAATGAGGTGACGAAAACAAAAAGTGGTTACACACTTCCAGTTGTCCTGTCTTCCCCTTGGCCAACCTCTGCACAACCTCTTCATAAACCTCTGCAAACTACCTTTGATCAGACAACGGCATTGTGCTTAGCAATAGGCAAGATACTGTATTAATAATGCATTATAAAAGTGAAACTGTTACACACTCCACTCTTCGCAAGGAGGAATCCATAACCTTAAAGAAGTCCAGCAATTCCTGTCACCTGTTTTAGACACTCCATATTGGGCTTAGCAACCCAGCAAATAAAACGGGGCAATCAATTGAGCATCCTTAAATTCCCAGGCAACAACAGAGCCAGTGGCCTTATGCTGCAATTTAGTTCTGGACCAGATGATATCTAGCTGGAAGGGGAAACATCAGGCAGACTAAGATTTGTCAACTTTAAGGAGCAGCAGTCTGACATGCACACATTAATTAAGCTTTCCCCTTCACTGTAGTTGCACCTAAAAGAAAGTTTAATTGGCTGAATTCCAATGTATGAAGTTACTATTAAAAGCCCTAGATGCGAATCAGTACAGACACTGGCATCTATGGGAAATATTAAAATAGTCACTTAATGTTACACTGAATACAATGTATTAGATCAATATTCTGCTCTATTTAATTATTCAGCTGGGAAGCCAGTACAATCCTGTCTCATTTAATACAGGGTTGTTGTTTTTACAAAGCAAAGCCTCTATAACAATACAATATAGGTCTACTCAGAAGTAAGCCTCACTGAATTCAATGGAGCTTCCTCCCAGGTATGTGTGTATATATAGAACTACAGGGTTAGAAAAAAACCCCAGAGCAAAACTGTAGTCCTGTTTAACTACTGATATTCTAATAAGAGACTTTCTGAATCTTTTTACTGACTGCCCAGGGCACCCTAAGTTTGTGGTATTGATTATTTAACAGAATTGCATACACATCAACACTTCATCTGAAAATAACTATATTAACGAATTCAGGTAGGTAGCCGTGTTTGTCTGACGCAGTGGGGAGGGGGGGATGAAAAAAAAATTGTCCAGTAGCACCTTAGAGACCAACTAATTTTGTTCATATTCCTGAAAGCAGCATACATTAAGGACCTAATCCTGCTCTTCCGCCACATCAACATGACTAGGAATAATCGGTTCAAGGCATCATACTTATTACAGGCAACAACTGATGTTTCATAAAACGACAAAGGAACTCAAACCTGCTGTCCACAGTACTCCTGGCCGGAAGTTGTTTAGAAAAGTCCCACCCCAAAAAACCCCTATAAGAACTCTAAAATAATTGAGCAGAGTCAGCTTCCTCAGTAAGGAAGTGCAAAGAAGAGCCTCGCCTTCCCCACTTGCAATCAAGCCCAGCTGAGCTGGCCATAGATTTAAGAACAGCTGAAACAGCTGGGGAAAGAAGAGTTCAGGGATTATTTTTTTTTAAAAAAAAGTTTTATCAGATGTATGTCTTTGTTTCTCAATTTGATCCTTTTACATGGTTTTGTATGCATTGTGGTATTTTATGCACTGTTATTTTTATTGATAATAGTTTAGTAATTATTTATTATAATTGTTAAGAGTGAAATTCTGTTTAATTATTATTTGCTGACGTTCTGAGAGTTAATTTTACTGTGTACTATTACATTCTAATAGATGATTGAATATTTATTTGATATAAGTCGTTCCATTTTAAAGTTATTTTGTTATGATTTTTTTGTATTGGATGGGATTATTATAAGGTGTGTGTTCTTTGTTGTATATTTTGTTGCTGTAAACTGCCTTGTGTTTAGTAATACAGAAAGGCGGTATACAAATTAAAAGGTAAAGGGAAGGAAATGGTTTAGGGGTGTCCAAATGACACGCACGTGGCACCAAACACAGAAGTAGCCCCAAAACAAAAATATGCAGCGCCCAATTTACGTATAAGCTAAACAAGCTATAGCTTAGGGCCCCACTCTCAAACAAACAAACAAACAAACAAACAAACAAGCAAGCAAACAAACCAGTAACGCCCCCCTCCCATTCAGAGTCCAAGGCCAAGCAATAAACTCTTTTTAAGATTCACACCCTCAGCAATAGGGAGATTTGCCATGTGACTAGTATACGCACCACAAATTACATGCCCAGGATGAATTTATGGTTGCAGCCCTATATCCACTTACCTGGGAAGTCTCACTGAAATCAGTGCGACTTACCTATAAGTAAACAGGTATAAGACTGTGCTATAAACCAGGTGAAGATTTGCAAAACAAGGGACAGGAAAGTTTCCTCTGTTCCAAAGTTAAACATTCTATGCCTTTGTTTTCAACTCAACTCTAACGGGTTAATGTCAGCCTGGGAGTATAATGTTCATCTTTCACTCTTGTCTATATGCCTACATAAGAAGAATAGGGCTGTGTTAACCGGAATGTGTTTCTTATATTGAGTTTTCCTTGGTCCAATAAAAGGTTTTGCCTCACTGCTCTGAGTATTTTATTCCATGGGATCAACACAGCTGCTATGGCTCTGATTAAATACTGGAGCCGCTTCAAAATCATTAGCTCCACCAAATATTCCTGCTTAGACAGTTTCTCTGCCCCTCTGCACGCTCCCCGCCTAGCAATCCACACTGTACATTTTTCATACAAAACCAAGCAGTCTGAAAGTCCATAGTCACTGCGTACACACACACACACCCTGTTCTAAAGGCTGTTTCATGTAAGATTTTAATGGGCACAAACACCTAACTTTATACACCTGCTAACATGTAGCTGAAGCACATATACATCTACCATGGAAATTCTATGCAGGAAATAGGAGACTTTAGCTCCATGGGGTGTGGTGTACATGAATTGGGGAAGAGAAACGTGTGGGCCTTGAGTGGTTGTGATGTTGCATTTTATTGTACTATTGTTTTAACATATTGCTATCCCACCCCCCGGTTTGTAATCCTCTCTGGGTGTTCAGTGGGTGGAAGAGAAGGATAAAATAAAAATGATACAAGCAATTCCAAAGGATTTGGTGGGCCTGGGCCAACTGCCCATCTGTCTGCTGTGCATTATGGAGTTCACATTGGCCACAGTGCGCAGCTTACTGCCAGCACATTTGCAGGAGTCTCCTAACCCTGGGTTAGACCTGGTTTACATGAGTAGAGAGTAAAAAGCAAAGAGCTAAGTGCTGAATTAACACAGACCATGCTGTCCACAAATGCCCTTAGGTAGTCCCAACTGTGTCTCTATCCACTCACTCTCTCTCAGGGCCCTGCCATGAAGCAAGCAGCAAAAAAAGGACTGAATGAACCCACAAGTTAAAACACAGACTTAGCATTACCTGATATATTTTGCAATAACATCCCTCAGCTCCAACAAAGGTAAGCAACTTGTTGCTTAACACCAAAGGCCATTCCCCCGCTTTTTTTCTTTGCCACCAAACATACTCAATTTATTCCTACAGTCACAAAGGGTAAAGATGTTGATACTGAAAAAATAAAATAAAAGCTATACCCGTCCAAAGAGAATTTACAGTTGCGTGCAGCTTTTGGGCCACAACTTGTCAATCATAATTTGGACTATACATTGAAAAAATAAAAATAATTGTGGAAACTACTTTCTCTCATGCATGTGATCTTATAGATCATTATCAATCCCATGGCTGGAATACTGATTTGAAGAGTGAGAGAATACAGCTCTCCCACACTCACACAATGGGAGCACAGCTCCCCCAGGGTGAAATGTGTCTGCAAAGTACTGCTTTCAGCAACACTTGGGTCTGAAGTAGTCACCTCCCAGATTCTGTCTTCTCAAATGGCCCTCAAGATCCTCTGTAGATATTTCAAATGAAGATGCACTGCTGGCCCTTCCTTTAATTAACAGCAGACTTTTTTTAATACAAGTCATCTGGACAATTCAAAGAGATGGAACATTTCAGAATGTCAGACTCATTTCTCATAAAAACAAAAGCCAGAAGCGGCTTCCTAATCCCGCCCCCCATTCCCATCCCAGTATAAACACATTGTTCCCAACCATCAGCACAGGCATCCACCTATCTGGCTAGCCATGTGACTTGCTGCTCACATGAAAATGATTACCCTGCACACAAAAAGAGACACGCCAGCTGGAAAATTGGCCTGCCCTGCTTCAAATTCCCGAGTGGTTCACACACATCACGCTCTGGGAGAACGTGGCTCTCAAACCACACCATCCATAAACTGTAAAATCATAGGGCTTTCAAGAAAGCCTCACTTCAGTAGCAAAGCCAACATTTCAACAGGGAAAGTTTCTTGGGAATGCACATCCCCCCTGCTCCCATTAATGGAGTGATGTGCACAGACAACGGAAGTAGAGCTTGAGAAAGTCCTATGAACTTCAGTGCATGGCTCAAGGCCAACTAGTCAGAGAGCACAGCCCTCTTCAGATTGCTGCAGAAGGACACACAGTTAGGAAATACTGCCATAATTCTGGAAAACTATATTTCATGCCTCATACAGAAACACTTCATTTGAAATATTTAAATATATATGAACTCACCCCATATGTTACTGGAAGATGCCCCAGTTGGCATTGGTGGCAGTGGTCTGGGCCTTGATTTAGGCGTGGCAGCCACAATCCTCACAGGACCCAAGTACTCTACGTAAGTGCCTGGGAAATCTCCCCACTCCTTGGTACGTTCATTGAAGCCATTAAGCCAGCCTTGGGGGTTTCTCTCATCCCCTTCCTTATAGTCCACACAGGCATGCCCTGCCCTGCTGACGGTGAGCAGGTCTCCGGGGCTGAGAGACAGGTCTTCCTCCCGATCCTTCTTATATTCATAAAGAGCACGGTACTGCAATCCATCGACTGAGGCCATGGCTAGAAAGCTGGGAGGCTTCTGAGTTACATCAAAAAGTTGACAGTCGTGTGCATCCTCACAGGCATTGGGAGAAGATGGAAGGAGGTAACTAGGGATAGAGAACTGCAGTTGCCTGGGTTTTTAAAAGCAAAAACTTGTAGCCCTTCCACTGGCTCCCCCTGGTTTCAACTCCCTGAGCACAACTCCTTGTTTCACAAAGGAATGATGTCAGAAGCAAGCAAACCCTGAGGGCTCAACCGTCTGCAAAAGTCAGGCCATCAATCTGCGGTCATCTTTACAAGTACCGCCAGTTCCCAGCTGAACAACTTAATGAGGCAGAGAACCAAAAAAAACCCCCGGCAGGTCTCCTCTCTCTGTTCAGGCAGTTGCAGATTCCAAGTCTGGTATCAACAGCAGATTCCTTGGCAGCGCCTTCTGCTGTAAGAGTAAGACAGTGACATTAATGATTTCATAAAGACACCGAGTTGCCAGCTTTTCAGTCAGTCTCTGTAGCTGTGCCTTTTAAGGATGGCTTCATGAGGATCTCCTGAAAATGATTTTTTCTCCACACCAGGCTGTGAAAAGCTAGATGAAGCTGCTGTTAAAGGCACAGGAGAAGGATGGTCCCGTCTCTTAACACCTGTTTCTGGCCAGCTGGTAACCTTGTAAGGGTGCAAATGCATTTTCCCACCTCTGACCCAACCCTAAAAAGCTCAGCGTGCTTGAGAGAAGAACCTACAATCACCGAAGAGCAAGCAGAGAATGTCTTTCGAAATAAACCCCAGAAAGAAGCTCCCCCACCCCAACCAACACCTCCACAGGTTTATTGGACCACAGCCCAAACAAGGGTCCCATAGAACAAACTCAAATGGTAACATCTCGCTGCATTTTGAAGAAGCGTTTTAACTGGGAGGCCAGGAAAAAAACCAAAACCAAATCTATCCTGCGCAAATGAGGCTACTACGCGGAGCATGCAAACCTCAGTCCAGGGACTCATTCAACGAAAGTTTCCACCCTCCCCGCACATCCCTCCAAAATCGCCTGAGCGCAGCCTGTTTAAGCAACAGAAAGGAGCAAGATGCGGCGCACGCGCAGAGGGGTGCATTTTAAAGCATACTCTTCTACCCATCCACTTATAGGCAACTCTGCACTAAAGCCTCTGGGAACCGGAACCCCTCGAGTTCCATGCGTGTCACCTGTTACAACTTGGCCCGCTGCCGCAACCTGGAGGGAAGGGCAGAGGGGACAAAAAGCAGGCGCGCTTCCCGACCGCGGACGGCGCCCGGCGTCCCGCCCGCAATCTCTGGATGTCCCCAGCAAATGGCAGCGGGGGAGCGGGAGGGGGAAGAAGGGTGGGGCCCAAAGTTGCCGGCGGGCAGCTCCTCTCTCCGCCCCCCCCCGCTTCTATGTATAGTAATTCCGAGGCAGTTGTATCAACCGGACGCTGTGCATCACCACCGCCATCCTCTGCCTGCCTGAAAACAATTTTACACCCCTGCACTGCTGAGCAGGATTTATTTGGTGATGTCAGCGGACACACCTCTCGGTTGCCTGAAATGTAGAGAGCCCAGGCAGCTCTGCAGTGGGGGGGTAGAAGGGAGGAAGGAAAGAAAATGGGAGTAAGGAAAAAGGAGGTTTGTGTGGTGACATGAAGTCTCAAGCTGGGAAAGAGAATGGGAGAAAAGGGAAGGAAGGAAGGACGGAAGGAAGGACGGAAGGACGGACGTGCATCGGACAGACGTTTTAATTCGCTGCCCCGCCAGTGTCGGCTGGGCGAGCGCAAGGGGACAGATACGACGTGGACGTGGGGAGCGAATCGTCCGCATCCCGTGGAACAAAAGTGCTTTGCTCAGCGGCGCGGAAGAGGGCGCTCTAGGGGCAGGAAGCCACGCGGCAATGGGGGTTATTCTAGGCAGCCCGTGGGCGATATTAGCTGCATTTGTGCACAGTCGCGTCTGGGAAACTTGACCCTTTCATTCCGGGAACTCGTGAACGGGTGTTATAAGAGACATGTGCACGTGTGCATGCCGCACTGCTGTAGGAAGTGACGGCGAATATGAATGCAGTAGCAATCAAGTTTGCTATTTAAAAATGTATGGCTGCTCCCTTAAGTCGGGCTTCAGTGCTTAACTCTCAAGGAAGCGCGCAGAGGACTGCCGCAACCCCAAGGGTTGCAGCCTATTTGCATAAGATTGGGTATGCTTACCCCAGATAAGAAGCGGGAGCTGAACAGCCTCCCGGCAGCAGCCCTCCTGCATTGCAGATCCTGCACGGAGGAGCAGGGGGTTGGGCTAGATGACCCTCCAAGATCCCTTCCACTTCTACGATTCTATGTTTGGGCTCCTGTAATACAATTCTCACTGGGCAGGTTTGTCACTTTCCTCGGAGGCTTTTAATGTTTGTTTGTCACGCCGCTGCATCTTAGCAGAAAATGCGGGGACGGAGGGGGACGGACGACGACCGTGGAATTGCACATGGTTGCGCTTTTGGAGAAATTCCCCGATGGGCAACAGTCCTGAACAAGCTGTAGGCACAGAGAGCACATCCCCAGCCACTTATTGGTCAGTGCCCTGTTTATCTTAATGCAGGGATGGCTAGCCTGTAGCTCCCTAGATACTTCTGGGCTTCATTTCCCATCAGCTCCACCCATCATGGCTATTGGGCCAGGGATAATGGGCGACATCTGGAGGACCACAGGTTCCCCCCCCCTCTGCAGATTTAGTGGGAAAGGAAAGAAGGCTGGATGAAACCAACAATATTTGCCCCATTTGCTCTCAGGGCTTTGGCCACATCACTGCCTGCACACACCCAGCCTTTTTGTTGTTTAGTCGTTTAGTCATGTCCGACTCTTCGTGATCCCATGGACCAGAGCACGCCAGGCACTCCTGTCTTCCACTGCCTCCTGCAGTTTGGTCAAACTCATGCTGGTAGCTTCGAGAACACTGTCCAACCATCTCGTCCTCTGTCGTCCCCTTCTCCTTGTGCCCTCCATCTTTCGCAACGTCAGGGTCTTTTCCAGGGAGTCTCCTCTTCTCATGAGGTGGCCAAAGTATTGGAGCCTCAGCTTCAGGATCTGTCCTTCCAGTGAGCACTCAGGGCTGATTTCCTTAAGAATGGATGCGTTTGATCTTCTTGCAGTCCACGGGACTCTCAAGAGTCTCCTCCAGCACCATAATTCAAAAGCATCAATTCTTCGGCGATCAGCCTTCTTTATGGTCCAGCTCTCACTTCCATACATCACTACTGGGAAAACCATAGCTTTAACAATGCAGACCTTTGTCAGCAAGGTGATGTCGACCCCCAGCCTTACCTCCTTATAATAAAAGTAAGACTTTGAAAATCAGTAACTTAGAAAACTAAATTTAAAAGCATACTTCTCCACGGATTTAGATGACAGATTGTAGCTACGGTACTTCCCTGTTCCTCTTTAGCTGCACAATTTGGTAGTGGGAAAGGAATGAGTTCTTTTACATTTCAGCATGTGAGTAAAATTAACAAAGTTGACAGCACTATTCTCATACTGAAGGAGGCAACCATTCAGATCCACGCAGCCTTGCACTTGTATTGCTTCCAGCCCAACCCTGCCACTATGCAACTGTTGAGCAAGTTTGAAAATAATACTACAGTGGTACCTCGGGTTAAGAACTTAATTCGTTCTGGAGGTCCGTTCTTAACCTGAAACTGTTCTTAACCTGAGGTATCACTTTAGCTAATGGGGCCTCCCACTGCTGCCACGTGATTTCTGTTCTCATCCTGAAGCAAAGTCCTTAACCAGAGGTACTATTTCTGGATTAGTGGAGTTTGCAACCTGAAGTGTCTGTAACCTGCGGTACCACTGTAACTGGAATGAATTGGACGTGGGTGGGGAGGTGCTGCTTTGGCCAGTGATGTGGAATTTGTGGCCCTTCAGATGGAGTACATTTCCTCCCACTTTTGCTGATGTTTGACATTGCAGCTTGAAACCTCTGAGCAGCTTTATTTATTGACATTTTTTTCTGAATGGTTATTAGAATGCAGGTGGTAGAGAAAGCAAGGATGAATGAGCACACATTTGCCATTCTCCAATCCCACCCCCCTTTAGTCTTTTTACTGTCAGACCCTTGACAAGGACCTTTATTATTATTATTTTAAATTCTGGTTGAGAAAGAAAGACCTGAGCAAGAAGAGATTATGGTGTCAATTAATCCCAGGGGCTCCTTACAAGTGAATAATGTTGGAACTGAAAGAGTAATTTTCAGTGCCAGCATGTCTTTTAACAACTTAACATTTGGAATAACAAATGAGACATCCCTTGTATTTCCATACATTATAGTTGGACAGAATGAACAAAGACTTACTGGATTTAAACTGCCATGAAAAAACAAAACAAAAGCCAACAACCCAATTTATTTTGCAACGGGCCAGCTAGAGAGAAAATTGCCCATGTCTCATTTTCACTGTGATGAATTTCCAGACTGATGGACAGTACAGAAAAGGTCTAACACCTAAGCTGCTTTCACTCGCTATATCTACACTGCACAGATAGGCTTTTCTTATACGGATATCCACACTCAGCACGTGGATGTCAGAGGGAAGGGATGATTGGGGAGCCATGTAGTACTTCCACCCAATGGTCCCTGTGTTGTAAGCAGGAAGAGTAAGGGCCTGCTGGAAGACGATTCTACATTTTGAAGCAGTGATGAGGAATAGCAACATGGAGGACAAACTTTGCCTCCAGTTTAGTTTTCTGAACTCTGAAAAATCTGACAGCCTTTTTGGTTGGTTACACTCCTGCTGTCATTCTTTCAGTATTGTTAATTGTGTGCTCATCTTTTTTTAAAAAACCCTTTCCTCAGACTCCCAGTGCATGGTGGGTTTTTGCTCTTAAGAACAGAACCGCTTTGCCATCCTAGCTCATGTACATTTGACTTTAGGACACACTGGGCATCATGGAATTGGTAAAATGGCAGGATTATGGTGTGGCGTTACAGAAAAAGGGCAAAATACCGCACAAATACAGCTGGTTTGGTACAAAGCGGTGACAGTATTGCAAGATTGCAGATGCTGAGAGTAATACAGCATTCTCATTAAATTAAATTTGAGGCAGCAACCAGTACTTCCTAGTCTAGATTAAACTAGTAGTAAATTCAGGAAAACAAGCATTTTGGAACACGCACAGTCATAACATGGTGGATTGGGGGGCGGCTTGTGTCAGGTGTCAATATTTGGGGGCACCTGACAAGGTCCATTACTGCAGCAGTGGGCACTGCTAACCCCCAGAATCTCCACATGGGGCTGGGAATGGCTCACCTCTGAAACCCTGGAGACCCATAGCTAGCTAGTATAGAGTCTAGACAATACAGACCTAGATGGAAGTTTTTGACTCAGTACAGTGGTACCTCTGGTTACGAAGTTAATTCGTTCTGGAGGT